GCGGAGGTAGGGGCGCTTTTGATCGTACTGGGGCGCGCGAGTCCGGGTCCGGCGAGCGTCTTGTGGGCGAGCGGGATCGCGAGTAATCACGTCGTCTGCGAGAAGACTTCTCCTTTCTGTCGTAAGAATCGCGGTCACGGTGACGACGGTATGAAGACTCTCGGTCGGAAGTATGTCGGCGTCTTCTCCGGTCATCGTCTGAGACATCCTCCTTATCCCTGTGCTCACCGCGCCGACGGTCATAATCTCTTCTGTGGCTTCGTCGGTCGGCGGGGCTGCGGGATGACCTCCGTCGCGAGCTGTCTCTTCGGGAGCTTCGATGAGATTCGCGATGTCCCGAATCGCTGCCACGGTCGTCGTCACGGCGTCGCTGTCGTCGATCGCGGTCAGGAGCTGGTGAGCCGGAGGGGGATCGGTGCCGTCTCCGGCCGTGATCGTCGCGTGAATCAGGCATTTTCTATACAGCGGATTTCTATACAGCGTCGACGGGGATGGAGGTAGTTTTCATGCGGGAAGCTTTGGAGCTTCGGAGACCCGCACGTGATGACCTCATGTAGAGATCCGAACTTCGGAATTAGCGGGATTATTTGTATCGACAACCAGACAATCCCGTCCAAACCCCGGTGCTTTCTACTTTGCCATCGGTCTAAAACATTCCGGAGAGGTCTTACATATCTCTCCATGTGAAACCATGCGGCCATGCTCAAGAAACCCAACATCCTTTGCTGTGGTGGTGGACTGCAGTTACTGAACCACCCATGCCTGTCCTCGCCACCTCGGTCTCGCGCTTTCCCCTCACAGTCTCGCTATTCCGCCAGGCGCTATGCCACCGCTTCTCACAACCCAGAGACGGATCTCTCATGGCCGTCTTCTCCCACTTTCACTCCGTATGAGCTATTCAAACAAGATCGGACCGCACCCTATTCCAAGACCCGCTATTATGAAATGGTCAAAATCTACCATCCGGATCGCCCATGTAGCGGACATCCACTATGCAGAGACCTCACACCCGAAGTGAGACTTCAGCGATACCACATCCTAGTGGCTGCGCATGAAATTCTATCTGACCCTAGTAGACGGGCAGCCTACGATTTCAGTGGCGCGGGGTGGAACCTCCATCCGTATGAGACGCCGATCCCATCCTGGGCTAGAACGGGCTCCAGTAACTACGGTCCAATATACGCGAACGCGACCTGGGAAGACTGGGAAAGGTGGAATAATCGTCACCAGGGAAAACAGCAGACTCTGGTGGACCATCGGACCTTTGCAACATTCGTGATACTTCTGACATTAATGGGCGGAGCGCTCCAGGCATCTTGGATTAGCAAGCTCAGCAGCGGTTACGAAGACCGGCTGTGGGAGCTGAACCAAGAGTCATCCCGCCTTTTGAAAGGGCGTAGGGAGAACACTCAGCATCAAATGCAGTCGGTAGATGCAAGGGTCCAACACTTCCTTATCCGAAGAGACCCGTCCGGGTGTGGTTTGAAGGAGGAAGAACAGCCGGTCTATAAGCAAGTGTTACATTCTCAAAAATGCTCCGACGACTCACCTGCGGAGGTTGTTGGGTCGGAGAGACAGGACGGTAGAGTCTTACAAGATTTAGTCCAGGCGGAAACTAGCAGTTGACATAGATTGCATGCGTAGCTAGTTCGCGGGCGTTGTAAATATGCTAATTACTTCAGTTCAATGGAGGCCTGGAGTTTCCACTTCTGAATCTATGCCCTGGAACATGCATGTATGGCAGTATCTTACCCAGTGAGAAATTATATGTTAGCCGACTGTAGATTCTACAATGCAAACAACAAACTTCCATATTCCTGATCCGACATGCGTGCTGCAGCTGTGCCATGCTTACGAATAGTCCAGAAACAATAGCTAGCAACCTCGAAGCCGTCGAAATCACAACCATGGCATAGCCAAAGGCGTATACACAATAATTCCTCCGAGGTACATATGATTTGAAGTTTCGCATACGTAATTCTTAATCTATAACCCCGATACATACGATAATTTTTTACTCGGGTGTATAATCCTTAGCTAGTAGCAATCATTGCTGCCCCGTATTCTGTGCTACCATGATACAACTCTGACCCCCGTACATAACTAGCTTACGGACAATTATAACATTGTACCATGACGAGCTCTATCATGAATCTCTAAGCCCCTTGCTCTCGAAAATTACCACACTGATTTCTTTGGCTAGGTATCAATGGTATGAGCCTGGTAGTTGGGAATTTGCCTGCGTCTTGAACCTCGAGATTCCGCTGTAGCTGCAAGAATTAGTGTAGTAGCTAGAAGTAAGAGACTCTGATCACGATTGGCTGAGATTGATGGATTTCTCGTTTGTGCTGCCCAAGTGGTGGAGCGCGGTGTGGAAGGAATACAAGGAGAGCCCTTCAGCTGCAGGCATGTCCTGGTAATCGGTATGATTCGATTACATGCACATTCATAGGGTATTAGTAGCGGAGGCAATACAAAGATTTCTACTACTACTGAATAACAAACCTCATCTCACTGAAGAAGAAGCAATTGCCCACTTATACCTCTGAACATACACGTTTACCTATATCCGAGCACAATGAAGCCGCCAGCACCAGCACGCCTTCAACAAGTCCATATTCCCCTCGGTGGAGGAGGATACGAGCCTATTAATTCCACCAACTCTCGAAATGCGGCATACAATTTAGGCCATGAAAGGATCCAGGAGAGCCTGTTGCGATTCTGCTCTGATAAATCATGGAATAATAACTCAAGATCAGTCTTTATGTCTCGGTCTATTCTTATCTCCTCAGAGTACTAGCGCCAATGGAAAGAGCTTAACAATGCTTTAGTCTCTGCTATAACCGATATTATTGAGAGGTGGTGGACGGATTCGGTGTCTAGATTTCCTGAACGTATACCGCTGGAACCTGCAGAGGAGGGCCTTCTTCATGTATATTATTTTCCCTATATAATACTTTGAAAGTAATAAGATTACTAAGTAATACATATCCTAGTGGATTGATAGTCAAGTTCCTGACAAGATTTCTTCATACCGAAAGTGCCGCGGCTCGTGGAGACCGGATTTTCTAATTAAAGAAGACAATGAAGGAACACCTGGTTCTATAGAGAACTTTCGAATCAGTGAAATAAATACTCGTTTTTGCTTCAATGGATTGATGTATACAGCGTCCGGATAACAGGCATTAGAGAAGCAGGAGATTACTGATGGAAGTAATGGCTTGGTCGGTGCAACAAAGCCTGTAAAAGTAGATTATATTAATCATGATCCTGACCATTGAGCGGTATTCTACAGTAGCTAATAATACAACTCGGATAGATGATAGGCAGTATTCTGAGTTTGTTTAATCTTAACTTGCCATTACATCTCCTTAAAGGTGATAAACCTGGTATTGATATCCATATAATTATAGAATTGCTCAGAATATATTTTAGAATCAGCCCTTGCTTCGTGCTGCCAACTAATCTCAGGCTTGTGTCAGATTCTGAAGACAAGAATAGTTATAGACTCTGCTGCGTGGTTAGGGAATCTGAATCTCAAGAAACTAAGCGTTTTTTGTCACTGATCTATCACAACGGAGAGATCCTGGAAGAGATCCATCAAGTCAGTCTTAAGCTGTACCAGTGAGAACTGCGTGCTCTGAGTCCAGAAATGCTCTGTCAAATCAGCCTCAGATGTTTTAATAACATGCGAATGATTCTGCTGGTGCATGACAAGCGGATACTAGGAATTGTTAGACAGAAATTTAACTCACTGGTAGAAAGAAACACCATTACACTCGTACAGGCCAAGACTCTTAACAAAGACATTGCTGATACGCTACTTCCTGGCTCATTAGAGCTTAAATACTTCATTAAGTACTGCAAGAAGACTCCGGGACTGAAAAATGGGTATATCCTGAAACCAGTTCAAAGTGGAAAGGGAGAAGGGATTGTATTTGGCGAAGACCTTGACACTGCGGAATGGGTGTCAAGATTAGAGGACTTGCGCTCCTCTATACTGGGACCTGGAATGTGCATTGTCCAGCGCAGAGTAAATCAAGTTCAGTATAATGTGGTTTTAGAAGTAACGGGCGAAGTGGCTCGATATCTCCTTGTTGGGACATATCATTCAATCCAGGGTGAGTTTCTTAATATTGGAGTGTGGAGGTGTAGTCCGCAGAGAATCTGTGCTATAAGCTATGGAGGAGCGTGGACGTGCTCGGTCATTCACACTAACTGATCTCTTTGTTAATGGAACTGTTTGTTGCCTGTCCAAAGTTAGAAGTCTTATATGTGGTATATGTTTCTGCATGGTTTGTACATTCAATTGGTGATAAATAGGATCAGTGATCCAGACATGGTAGGTATGAAGTCAAATGTCCTATTTAGGCATAGGCAAGAAGCTTTAGGTCTAGGATGTTGAAAATCTGGACATCAGCTTTCAACAACTGAAAGGTTGAGGATTTGCTGAATTACATTAATGACATAATCCACATTGTCTTGGTCTCAAGAAGAATCCCACTGGATGTAAGTTTCCAACCGCAGATGCAGCAGAGCAAGTACAACATACGAGTGTCCGGAGGCTTGCACCGAGGGTAGGACAAAACATGGGGACATACGAACTGGTGCTTAGTTTCAGCTGAGCCTTGTTTCGCCTTAATTTGCATTGTCTGTTATTGGGGCTTCTATATGTAGCCCATGTAGTTCCTGTCTCTCGCCTTAAATGATCAGATAGCTTAGATTAGCAAGCCGCGTGTCTTGTCAATGCTACAACATACAGAGACATTTTGCAAATTAGAACAGTCCAAAGCCTTCTCTTGCTTGTATTTGCTCTTCATTGTCTGTTTTCGCCTTTAGGTGTATGTTGAGTCCGAAGCTGAGCCCAGTCTCATTGAACATGCAGCAAGCAATAAGGAGCATCAAGCCCACTAAACCATTGGGCTGTACAGCTAGTAAGTTGACCTTCAAGCGACGATAGGGGGAGGGCCTTCTGACACACCCGATAAAAACCAGAGATATCACGCGCTGTGCCACATCTGGTAGCTAATGATCTCCGTCATGCAAGCCATCCCAGCCACATCACAGATGTATTGAACACCCTCCGGCACACTGGCATCCTCAAGGTTAGCCTGAAATTTGAGGATGATTCCAGCCACTACCTTTAACAGCTCATGATCGGTCTTCACAAGCACTATGGCCACGGACTGCCCATCACTCACAGTGCATCCCGCGGCTGGTTCTGGGACGTTTGACCCAACAGCACGACGTTCCAAATCCCATTGCATCAGGCCCGATCCGAGACAATGGAGGAGTTCCCTTGGTACACTGACTGTAGCTATGAAGAAGCCCCACCCCGGTACTTTGCTTTGCAGGTCCTTACGGGAAGACTGATGTGGAGGTGGTACTCTCTCCGTAATGAATGTCGGCAGACTGAGTTCCCTGCTATCGACGTCAACTTGCACTGCCCTGCTCCGGCCTGAGTATCGTATTACTGTCCCACCCGAGTTTGTGAAATGTGATACGAAACGCCATGTTGTGGGCGGCTTGACGGCTATGGATGCTGAGGGGTTGTCTAGTATGGTTTGTTTTCGCGAAGATATTGTCACCCTGTTGACTGCGGAGGCGGTGCTGGCGTGGCAGGAGTTGAAGAATTGCTTGCTGGGACAGAAGGTGCAGGCAGAGATGCTGCAGCTTACGTCGGATTGTTTGCCCAGGGGTTCTGTAATTTTGATGGATAATTATAGGTGGCTTCATGCTCGGAGTCATGTCAGGGATCCGGAGCGTCATTTGCGGAGGGTTCGTTGGGATGCGAGACCTTTTCCTACCTCATTAAATGATAGCAGCATAGTTCAGTAGCATATTCCTGTAGCAGTCGAGCAGTTTTCAATTATGGACAAGGCTTGGTGACGAAGATGTAGATCGTATATTCTGCTTGGCTTACGTCGGTAGGCCCTTGAAAGGAAATTAGGTTTTCCTGAGTGGGAAAGAGGTCCAAACGGATCTTGGAAGGCTGCGGGACGGATCTGAACTTCCATATTCTCTTCCTCTTTTACGATCCATTTTCTTATTGACGCACGGGCCATAATCGTCACAATGAGCGCTGAAGAGTTTCTGGCCAATGTTGACGGGGGGATCGTGCCAGTGACCTGTCATGAAGATGTCTTGCGGATCGCATTCATCTATCTGCACGAGGGACTGTGGACCGGGAATGGGGTGTTCGATGTTGTGGAGAAGCTACACTCGCATGGCTTGTCCTTTGGTGAGGGTGATTTACGCTACAATCGGTAAGTAATCTATTTCATACTATGACAATTTCCTCCAGAGCACTGGATCCATGATAACTTGTATATAATAGTTCCCTGGATATATTCTACCTCGCACAGCTAGCAGCAGCAATCTACCGCTATTCCTCCCAACTGGAAGAAGACTTCCCCTCCTTCTCTAATTTCTCTGCTTTCTACACAGCCCACCATGCCCTCCTGCACTCCTCTGCATGGCGCTCCTACTACTCTACCCCATTCATCACCCAGCGCACCACAGCGCGCTTCTACCGCCTGCCCGACCTCCAGGACCTTCCCGACTCCTCCTCCCCACTATGTCAGCCGCGTCAAAGTCCGGCATCATCTATACACATTTTGCAACTCCCTCGCTGGGCCTACACTGTCGCGTGTACACACCGTAGGCAGCCCTTTCTACCATTTGCCACTCTTACTTCATTGGCCCTCAGCACGCTCGAGACAACTATGAGACGCCGGCACACGGCCAATCCCAGCGCACCATCCTATTCGGAATCACATGCGCGCTTCTGGCTTGACTATTTTACTCCTGATACTTCACCACCATCTCGCGTGGCTGGGGTAACCCCCCGGCAAACAGAGGGACCCGACAGGTTTGGGATATTGGTCGCGCAGGGAATGTATGATATACATGGGCTGGAGACAGAGTATCTTGTACAAATATCGGGGGGAGAGGGTCCCGATGGAGATAGCCAGTCGGAGCAGGTGATATGGTGTGGGTGGCCGGATGGAGGAATTGGAGTGCAGGCGTGGTGGAGGGGGTGGGAGGGAGAGGTTGGGAGTGAGGAGGAGGTAGAGTTTCTAGCCGCTGTTGCAGTGGAGGAAACACTTGGATTAGGGCTCCAAGGAATTGATATGAATGAGTTGGACTTGTCAATCCGGTCGCATATCCTACTGGCGGTCATGCATGCTACGGTGAAAGATAGGCAGGAGAGGGAGCGGTTCTTGGGCGAGCTGGAAAGGCGGATGGTGCAGGAGGAATTAATTGACAGGGAGAGGGCAGGGGCGTGGGTCAGAGAAGCCTTGGAGATCATGGAACCGTATGTACGCGAATGGCAGGGCGTGTGGCCTGGGGTAGAGGAGAGAAGAAAGATGCTGCGGCGCATTCTGGTGGAGAATGGGCAGCTGTTTGCACGCTGGAGGGTGTCACCTGCTTCGAAGGAGTTTACTTTTGAAATGGGTTCGAGGGGGTAATGGATTCGGACTGATTGCTTGTTGAGGACTTGAAGAGATTCGGGGTACCTATAGTAAGCAGTTCAGTTCATAATGTTTTAGTAGTAACCAATTCGATTGCAGAGGATACGAATCCCCACGTCGCAGCGTGACACAGCCCCGTACCTGGTTCCCGTATGTCCAATCGCGCGTACTACTTACCTACAGCATATGCAGCCAGCCTTGGGAAGTGAATCTCTATCCCGTCTTCGTCGGTCTTCGGAGGAAAACAGACAGGATTACGCCAATCACTCGATATGAAATGCCACGGTTGGGCGTATACTCCACATTGAAGTTTTTGAGTACTCGTTTGATTCCCAGCTGACTTGTTGTAACCACGTAGTAAGTATCATTTAGTTCTGAACGGCGTTTGTCTATACCCATGGGTGGCTGCAACGTGAGGGTATAACAAACCACCACCTTTCCTTCATTCGTTAGCATTACGAACTTCCTTTGTGAATATTTCATTTCCTCCTCATGAGTACCAAACCATTTTCTCTGGATGAAGTTCTCGCAGTTGCGAAAATCCATCCGCTCTACAACCCTAATATATTATACCCACCCGGGCCTGAGGAAATCCAGGCTATTGTGCAGGCACATTTCACTACTAGTAGCACCCTTAAATCATGGCCCCTGACTACCAAGAAAGACCTGTAAGTCTTACCATCTGTTAAAACCTCTCCTCCGATTGAGTAATATACTCATGACCTTCCTACCAGTTACCGAGTGATCGAGCGATTAACCAAGGACACGAACCCCGAAAATGAATACCGGTGTAGCTCCTACGTCAGTGTCACCGGCGGAGGTTCCGGAGACATGCTCTTGATGTTCTTCACAGATGTGAAAGAAAACCGTCAGCATCGCGCAGCGTTTGGCGAGTTTCTGCGCACCTGGGCAGATTATTGTAAGGACGCTTGATTCTTCGCCACAGACAACAATGGAGATTAGGGTGCTTCGTGCCGCGGTGAGTAAAGATATGATATCTCTTGAGCAATTTGTCTATGAAGTGGAGACATTCTTCTTTGTTTTACCGGATAATCGGCATTTGTTTAAATTGACCTTTGTTGAAGATATAGGTGGGTTTGAGAAGAGCGGTACAGGGAATAAAGTTATGAAGTTTGTGGATAGAAGACACTAGTAGTATATTGAAGACATATTTCCATGATATCCGAGAACCGCCCTAATAACTCCTCGGCAAATGCAACACCTTCTCACTCACATAATTCAAAATCATCTCCCTGCTCACCGGCGCAATCCTAGGCACCAAACACTCCCTCAAATACCTCTCCACATCATACTCCATCGCATACCCCATACCCCCATGGCTCAGCACCGCCCTCTCACACGCCGTGAACGCCGCCTCAGCAGCCAAATACTTCGCACTATTACACGCCACTCCCACCGAATGCAACGGAATCGTCTCATCCTTCTTCGACGCATCATACAGCCTCGCAGCATGATAAGTCGCCAACTTGGCCGCCTCCAACCTCATATACGCATCCGCCAACGGATGCGCAATGCCCTGATTCTGCCCAATTGGCCGTCCAAACACCACCCTCTCCTTCGCATAATCCGCTGCTCGCTCCAGCGCCGCATACCCCAACCCCAATGCCTCACCGGCAAGCAAACACCGCTCCGCGTTCATACCATGCAGAATAATCCGGAATCCATCGTTTTCCTGCCCGATGAGGGTATCCGCAGGTACTTCGTATCCATCAAAGAACACCTCGTTAGCGTCGACAGCCCGTCCGCCCATCTTCTTGATCTTGCGCATGTCCAGACCGGGCTTGGTGCGGTCGATGTCGATGCAGAACATCGATAGACCCTGCGTAGACTTGGTTACTTCTTCCAACGGGGTCGTGCGCGCTAATAGGATCATTTTGCTGGCCACTTGCGCGCAGGTAATCCAGATCTTTTGCCCTGAGACGGAGTAGATGCTACTACCATCTTCGGAGGACTTTTTGGTGGCTAGAGTCTTTAGCTTCAGCGTTTCGAGACCCGTGTTGGGCTCCGTGACGCCGAAGCAGGTACGCCATGTACCGTCGATGATCTTGGGGATGGTTTCTTCTAGTTGCTCGCGCGTGCCGAACCGCGCGAGTGGTTGTGTTGCGTACACGTTGGCGTGGATGGCTTGTGCGCCGGCCATGCCGGCGCCGGATTGCGTGATGGTTTGCATCATCATCGTTGCTTCGGAGATTCCTGGTTGTGATGTTAGTCGTGAAGAGTGGCAAGGGTTGGTGGAATTGGCCTACCTAGACCTGCGCCTCCTAGTTCCTCAGGCAGCGCGATCCCTAACCACCCGTCTCGGGCTAGGGCGGCGTGGAACTCTTTCGGGTCGCGCTCGTTCTGGTCGCATTCTTGCCAGTATGTGTTGGGGAATTTTGCGCAGATGGCGGATACCGCGTCGCGCACTGTTAGTTGCTCTTCGGTGAAGCCTGTTAGTTCCATTAATGGGCGTGCGGCGCTGGTGCTGAAGCCGGAGCGGCGGGAGGGCCGGGCGGGTAGTAGGGAGGAGCCCGGCCGGAGAGCGCCAATCCGGCTGTGTTGAAGGGCGCGACTTAGTTGGTATATACGGGACATGGTGAATTGTGTGTATGGATAGATTCTCGCATTGAAAATGAGTTGGTTTGGGGAAGTGGAAAGTAGATATATATAAGGAAAGCCGAAAAGGCATGCGATCATAGAATGCGGCAAATACCCGAGGGCCATATAGCCTTCTTGGTTCCTCCCAATAGCCGAGCCCGCATGCTGGATGTATCAACCTTAACCTAAGTACTACCGAAATACATCAAGGCGTCTTCAAAATTAACCACAGAAATTATGTCACCGGCCAAAATGGAGAAAAATGATCGAAGAATGAGAAAATGTAATCATATACCGTCACATCAGCTCGTATATGACACGGTGAAGGCCGAGTCACTTTGCACTTCCACGTCCGTCAACACCTGGTCGCCCTGCTTCAGCTCGACAATAGTCGCATCATCTACACCCCATGTAGACCCTCCCCCTTGTGCTTGCACGCCCCAGAAGCTGATTTCACCGAAACCGGCCAGGTCGACCATTGAGTCGCCAGACTGGAAATCCTCCACGATCCAGTCGGCATTCTGGCCGGCAAGTGTGGCTGTCGCAGCTGGGGCTTTGATCGTCTGCGTAGCCTTCTTCCCTGTTGATATGTTCTCAATTGTGGCTACGCCTTGACTTGGCGAGATGGCCTCCACTTTGGCGACAATTGTGTCACCTGTGCTCACATCCAGATCGAAGTCGTATGCATAGTCTGGATACCACTCATACCAGGCATCGTTGTACGTCTGCCCGTTTTCCACGTAGAAGTCGACTCCTGTTTGGAGGATGGCGTTGCTGTATGTGTCGCCATCTATCCCGACCCAGGCCGATCCAGCCTGCGTTCCACTGCCCCCTTGCGCCGTGGGTTCTGGTACGCGAAATGTTGCCGACACGGCAGAATACGTGCCTTGCGGAGGTGGTTTCTCGCGCACTGCGCCCGCCCAATTACTGCTGTATGTAACATGGGTGGTATTTTCATCGGATACGAGGAGTCTGGACTCCTCTTTGGTGGATGTGTCCAGTGGAAGTGGTGCAAGAGGATGCGACTGGCGCTGCAATGACCGCGTACGGAGTCTGCCCTCCAAGCCGGTGCGGGGAGCTGGAACAGCTAGGACACTGCTTGCGAGTGATGCAGTTGTCAAAAGATAGTTTGTGAGCTTCATGATGAATGAGAGCAGAATGAATTGTGAAGAGTGATGTACGGCGCTAGTGGCAGAGGGTATCGATAATATAGAAGGCAGGAGGGGGCGGGTCGTGTCCTGCAAGGTCATAGATGCACGACTTTATTATATCCCTCTGGAAGATCTGCAAGTCGCATGCGGATAGCTCTTACTTTCCTGCTTGTCACTAGATTAGGCAAGTTTCTCGACTAACGCCCCCGATCTCCGCGTGCCCACGGGGACACATAATCCACCGATGGAGTGTGGAGGTGCACGTACGTCACGGACCGAATCATCAAGAGTCTTCAGTGCGTATACAATTGGCCGTCGAACGCAAGATCGAACAAGTTATTTTTATCAAGGTTTTGCCCTGGCACCGATCTGCCTGGGACCGTCCAGATTTCCCAGACTCCAGCCGGAAAGAGTGGGTGCAGTGCGCACGGTTTCCCTGATAGGCGCAAGACACCGAACAGGGCTTTCAGATGCAATAGGTAAGGCAGATGAACGACGGAATAGGACAGGATCGACGACTGCTGAAGCTGCGGTTATGGTGGTTGGATGCGCTGAGGTCTTCAGCAGACCGTATCACCTGCCATAGGGGCGTTGTTGAAGGATATAACATGACCGAATGCCTGATCTCATTGTCAGACATAAACAAACAGATAACTTGTCAGCCATGAAGGCAAGTTAAGACTGAGCTGATCCGAAACATGGGTCGGCAGTAGCTGTCTATGTGGCTTTGTTGCAGATGGGAGGGTGACGAGTGCAGGAATGAGGAATCTCACATACCAATCGACACAAGACCCCTTCCGCTTCTGTGGCATGTCCGCGTGGCCGCTGAAAACATCCGCTCGGGGTTTGTTTGATCCCTTGGTGTTCTGAGTCTCTGAGTATGGCCAGATCTCCCTTGTTTCACTTCAAGGAGCTTTCGACTTGCGGTTCCTGCTCATACCGGACTATGCATGGGTCTCGTTGGGTCAGACATCGCCTTATGGAGTTTTTCTCAGAGATTACAATAAGATACCACACTGAGTCTGTTTCTTAAGACTATGAGGGGGCAAGCATAATGCTCACCTACGTACCATGAGCTGTCGGGAATGTCGATAGGGTCATTCTACTTGAGCTTGTGATACTTAGGGTAGAACAAGGCTCCCGACATCCGCCCAATGAATGAGACGGGAAATTAATGCGATCAATTGATCCATGTGAAAGTCGCCCCAAGAATGTAACCAAATGAGTTCTAGTCTAGTCTATCTATCGTCATGGGTATCATCAGATCCTCCATCGAGGATCAGAAACTCATTTTTGCGTTCATTGAGAAAGTGAGCACTGGCGCCGAATGACAGTCATATCTTTCACGAAAAGTCGATTAGAATATCAACTAGATGCCGCAACGAACTGGTTGTGCGCGTGACCAACTGCCCTAAGCCTCCGTTCCATGTGATTTTCGAGAGTTCGTTCGAGCGTCGAATGGGTTTGAAGCATCTTCCAAACGAAAGGAAGTCTCCGAATCCTCATGTAATAGATGTGTGACATGGAAAGAAGCTGGCTGTTTGCATGTGGTCTAGACAACAGTAGCTTGTTCATGCCGACGCCACTATGAGTGATCATCCTTCAATTTCCACCACGCCCCAGAGCCATGGCCAAGCTTTTGGGGAAGAATCAAAGGAAATCACGATTCGTTATTCGAAGCATCGACGGCGGGAGTGGTATCGCGCTTGAGGAAGTGGCCCTGAATCCAGCAGCGGTACATCTTCAGCTTGCGCTGACGGTTAACGATCAACCGGTAATCGACACCTAGCTTCTCGATGTCAAAGACACCCTTGATGCCAGTAAGGCTCTGTTCATCCTTGGCCTCGGTTTCCTCTCCTGTCGCAAGTGCCGTGTGCAAGCCCTTCTCCGGAGTCCATTGGCCCCACATCTTCTCAAGCTCGTCGCGATCAAAGAAGTACACCCGCGTTCCATCACCACGAACGTAGAAGTTCTCGCCCATGTATCGGTTCTTCTTGAAGCGAACCTGTGCCAAGTCGCCCCGTCCGTAATCGCGGAACAGAACATGTCCGCCGGGTTTCAAGACGCGGTACACATTACGAATAGCCTGGTTCCACTGCTCTGGGGCCAAGGCAGAAAAGATAAAGATGAGAACGACGACATCGACCGACTCCTCAGTAAGGCCAGGAGGAAGTCCATTGCTGTTCTCATCCGGCTCCGCCGTGACATCCCACACATCAGCTGTCATATGCTTAGTGTTGTAGTGTGGGCTCTCGCGCATGACCTTGACAGCGGTCTTGGAGAAATCACAAGCATGGACCATGAGCTCCTCGTTCTCGTTGTTTTCCAACAATGGGAAGGCAGTATTTCCGGCACCTGCACCGACCTCCAGCACCACCTTCTTTCCCGCTGTAGACTGAGTCACATCCGCAAGGACAGGGAACTCCTGGCGGAGCCATTTTCGGTTCTTGAAGAAGTTGGCTGTATTGTTCTTGTAGAAAAGGTTCCACCACTTGGCAGGGTCGGCATTGAAACGGTTTCTGTCGAAATCCGAAACCGGGGTTTCGCGCTGCTTCGAATATTGGACTTCTGCGAACGCTTTGAACTCGTCGTCGGGCTCGACATGGTCCCAGGCGTTGAACTCGAAGACATCGTCTCCTTCTTCGAGGTACCGGGAGCCGAACTGGAAGGGATCACTCCGCTTTTGATTGTTGGAGGGGTCGTGGGAGCGGTGCGGGGCAATCTGAGGCGGCGTAACTAGTTGGAGAACAGTCGCGATATCATCGCTCGAAGATGCGATCGGAGCAGGAGCCATTATTAAGATATACTCCAGCAGGGGCCTGGAAAGATGTGAGTCCGACGAAGTAAGGTTTGAGCCAAGTAGGAACGAGACGCCCCTCGATAGATGGTAGAAGCCGATAAGAAAAATTTACAAACTTTGCAAACACTAAGCGACAGTCATGTGACGTATGGCCCACGTGCATCCAGATGCGAGCCGTGGAACGGATATGGGGTGCGGAGTAAACAACCTCGCTTCCAGGTAGAATAAATGAATTCTTAACAATATTATTTGCTGTATTTGATCTTCTGTAAATACACGAGACCATATAGTGAGGTCATAACAAGCAGCACTTTTGGTTCGTTTCAATTCGCCTATACAAAACAGTAGCCACGTGCGGTCCCAGACTCAAAACGACCCAAAATCATCCCAGATAGAGTAGCTGAAAAAGGAAAAAGAGATTGATATAAGACACAAGTTACTTTCGAAGAAATATATGGACGCAAAGAAGGACATATAATCATATATGCCATCCCGATTACTCGAGAGAGTCGGTGATACAGCCGTGGCTGGCATCCTTGACGGTTCTATTGGGTAACGTTAGCAGCGCGTCCAGACATGAGCCATAGATATGCATCGTATAGATATATGTGATGCCAGTTAAAAGCGTGTGATACGTACCTAGCGTACTTGCCGAGAGTACCTCTGAGGGTCAGGCCGGTGGGAGGGAGCTTGCCAGCAGCCTTGTCGGCTTCCCACTCCTTTCTTCTTTGCGCGAGGACGGTCTCCTCAACATCAAGATCCAGAACACGCTTCACGGCATCAATAGTGATAACATCACCATCCTTGACCAGACCAATGGGGCCACCGACGGCGGCTTCAGGAACAATGTGTCCGATCAAGAAACCGTGAGAACCACCGGAGAAACGGCCATCGGTGATCAGGGCGCAGGACTGTCCGAGGCCGGCACCCATCAGGGCGGAAGAGGGCTTCAGCATTTCTACTCGTCGCAATTCGTTAGCTTTACTGGTACACGTGCGCAGTGGAAAGGAGAGCATTTGCTGTAGCAACTTACCGGGCATGCCAGG